CCCCGCCCCGCCCCGTTACGCCATCGCTCTTGTGGGCCTCAATCCTCAATGAGCGCCCTGGGACCGGGCGGCGAGGCCGCGCACCTCGAGGGGCGCCAATTAATGTCAGGGGGAAGCAGACCCTCCAGCAGCCGGCAACACTCTTGCTTGCATCTTCTGCTCTAAAAAATATCTTCCTATAAATTCAAAACATGGTTTGTACTTTACGACATACCATTCTTGCTATCGTCCGAGAATTCCAAGCTACAGTGCTGCATGGTTCGCTGGAACTTACGGTGAAATTTACCCTACTATAAGCTTTTAACCGCTTTTAACAGTGCTTAGAAGAATATCTCACAGTGGAAAAGGGGTAAGTTGAGGGCGTTGTTCCGGGCGGCCTGGTGCCTCGGCAGGCAGGCCCGACTCGCTCTCCACTGCTGCTCGACTCCAACTGCTGCGGGGCTCGGCTAGCGACGGGGCCGCAGGCAGGCGGGTGCGCAGCGCACGCACTGGGCGGCCAGCCCGCCTGCTGACTTCCGGACCCTTAATCCCCCCTCTCCCCCTCTCTCCATCCTGTTCCGGAGAAAAGCCTACCAACCCCTGCTCCCTTCTACTTCTCCCCGGCACCCTCCCCTCTCCCCCCCTTCTCTCTCCCTCTCACTCTCTGCGTTGCTCTCCTTGCACAGAAAACTACGACAATTTGTTTCTCTTTGTCCTGCAGCGATGAGGGGGGAGAAAGGCGGCGGTACGTTCTCGTAAGCGAATAAAACATTGAATTTTCGAAAAATCAACTGACACTCTACTAAAGTGCTGTTTGGAAGGGGAGGGTCCTTTTCTATTAATAAAGGTTCAAGCGCAGACGGCATGACGTGGCCGCGGGGCGAGGCGGCTCAAGGGCCGGCCGCCGTCCGTCAGACAGAGACCGTCAAACGATCCGTCTTGATTTGACGTAATGGCGACATATGGTCCTCGCCCGCCTGCCCCTCCGCTGCGGTGTGGCCAGCCCCGGCCGGCCCTCACCCGGCCCTAGACCGACCGGAAGTTCGACGGCTGGCCGCTCGACGCGCCCCGAGAGGACTCGCCCTCGCTCCCCCTTCAGCCGTCTCTCTCTCTCTCGCACGCCACTGCAACTCACCGACCGCCTGCCGCCAAGGCCCTGTTCACGCGGAACCGAAACAAAAATAAATTATCGTGGCGTGCTGTGCCCAAGGCTCGCCTGCGCTCGGCACACCGCTGGGCCGGCCGGGGCGCGCCGATTGAATGCAGGGAATAATGCATGAGATTGCGCTGGGCCAGATTAAGGGTGCAATATGTTATGGATGTCCTCGGGCCGGATGCAATGGTCCGGCGGCCCGGGAGGCTGGGGCGGAGAGGAGCGGGGCGGCCGCGCTGCACTCATCTTTCTTTATCTCGTGCAGGGGGCCGGTGTACTGCCCTCCTCAGGTGGGGGCCGGATACACTGCAAGTAATTTGTCTCTACGATACAAGAAAACAGAGTGAGGAATCAACATTTTTTTCAAGTGACGTGGACGGTCTCCGGTAGTTTTAAATGTGCTAAAATCCAAAGGCACTTGTAAGGCGCTAAAACTATAATCGAACCTCTACCAGTATTACAACGCCTTCAGACCGTTTTCAGAGCAAAGAGGTGCAGACCGGCCAGAGGTATGCCTGCAAGGTGTATACAGGGTGCAAGATGCTCTAACGCCCCCAATGGGGCGCGATAACCACTCCCTAGCGTCCGGGCGACAGTCCCGTCCATCACACGAGTCCACCCTGAACACTAATCACCATTCGTCCCGCAGTGAGGAGAGTGGTGGGGTGAGGTGGGGAGCGGAGAAGAGGAGGGGAAAGAAACGGCAACAGAAGCCGCGAAAAGACGCTGCGTCACTTCGCTGATAGAAACGAATGAAGCAGCACGTTCGAATGTCGGCAGGAAAAATGAAAATAAAACGTCTTCTGGTATCTCCAGACAGCCGCTCGGTCTATGACCGCTCACCCCAGCGGTCCTTGAACACGCTCGGACAACCGCGGCCCGCAGACTCCCCTGTAAACACGGCGCGGTTCTTCCCGCTCTCCCTCTTGGATCTCGATAAAAGATTCACGCAGCACAACGCACCCCCAGCTCCCCCCGCCCCGCGGCCCGGCCCAGACCCTGTAGGACCCCCACCCGCACCTCCTGTATATATTATTAGTATGAGATCAACTGACGATACTTTTAGGGAAAGGCGGAGACCTTTGACCGCCGAGCCTATTGGCGGGATGCCACCTAGAGGCAGCCGCCGACTGAGAGTAAAAGTGGAGCTCAGTCGTAGCCGAGAGTCAGTCAGGAGAAGTCGTAGTGGAGAGGAGCAGAGCTAGCGTCAAGATGTAGACGCAGTAGTGTATAGTGTACCTTGTAACATCCGAAGAGACACCGATAATACACACCTTGATCAATGTGCTTTGTGTACGTCAATCAATGAGGGAGCATACGAACCCGTACCAACCAACACCCTTCTACAACCACCACAGTGGTTGGCAGCGGTGCTCTCATTGATATGACCTCCAAGGAGCATAGAGCACAGGTTTGTCTAATAGGTAAGTACAGTGATCTTTTTCCATCAGTATCATTTCAACTTACTTGTCGGCACCCGCGCGTGCCTGGTGCTGCCCCGTGCGCGCGTGACCTAGTCATGCCGCAGCCCTGTTTAGCCCCGCGTGCCCTTCCCGCACGCATGTGTCTTTGCTAGTGAAAGTGCGCACGTAAATACAACCTTTACGCCATGCTCAAAATGGATATGCGAATCGCACATCAATCCACTGTTTGTCACAATAACTTTTAATCATGACCTCTAAATTTTCTTACGTAATTGCATTTCCATACAGTTCTGGTTCTAAAACTCTAATTTCAATAAATTTGTGCACCACGCGCATTAACAAAGTGCAATCTTTCCATAATGTGCAATATCCTAGCTAGAAAAGTTCGATAAAAATAAAATAGAGCGGAACGCGCCGCGCCGCACCGCGCGCCGCAGGCGTCCGCACGGCTGTCTATTCTTAGCCCTAGCCGAAATCGAGCTACGCACCTTATTTTTTCTGTCGCCCAGAGATCCCCCTGCGTCGGAAATAATCTGACCCATTTTGCCGCGTGACATTCAAACACGGAACTTGAAACTTAAATCGACTATTCTAATCTTGATATTTTTCAATGTTCCAGGAAAATCGTCATCTTACTACTTTTCTGCTATTATGTATCCAGTACTTAATTTAACATCTTTTAATTTTACAATGAGCCACTTAATTGGTTCTTAAGTATAATTAAACATGTCGGCATCAGCGCCATCTTTATTATCTTTAGTTGATAACTTCTCTGGAGAGGACGAATGTTACGGGCTGGAAGACTTTCTAATGTGCATAGAAGCCGCAGCTTCATTCAAACCTGATATCACTGATGCGCAACTGCGAGCCATAATAATACTAAAATTACGTGGAACCGCTAGAGAAGTGCTAGCTGCTCAACCAGAGCTAACGGAAGGAACATCTGAGGCTCTTATCAAAGCGCTTCGCGATAGATTTGAACCTCTAATTGACCGATACTCAGCACAGCAAAAATTTTCATCATGCATTCAACTTCCAGGCGAATCAGTAATCGAATATTATTTTAGGTTACTTTTAGCAGCGGAGAATTATGCCGCTACCCGTCCCGCTCCAACAGAGGACTTGAAGGAAGCCATCAAGGCGCTGACAAAGATTGAACTTCTAGATCAATTTATGCACGGAATAAATTCTAAATTGCGTCAGTTTGTGCGATTTCAGACACCCGCTGATATCGAGACAGCTCTGAGCTTCGCCCGGAAAGAAGAACTCTACCTCTCTCTGGAGACATCGAAAACACCAGCTTCGATAAATTCAGTAACGGCGCAAACAGATAATTCCTCTAGTTTTCAGCAGCAGACGCCCTGTCACGGCCATCAAGCGTTATGCAGAGCAGACGCCCAGCCAATGCCCAGCGCCCACTCTGATTCTAAGACTTGTCCTCATAAACTTGCAGTCGTTGCACCTAATTTAGCAGATGTCAAAGGGCAAGCCTTTTACGTCAAATTTTTTGACCAAAATGACTACCAAACCTTTTTGATTGACAGCGCATCAAAAGTCTGTGTCATTAAGCGATCCTGTGTAAATAATTTAACACCTCTCGCAGATGAAAAAGCCTACAGTATTGGTGTAAACCAAATACCAGTCATCGGTTACTCCAAGGTGACATGTGGTAAGGGACGCCACATTGTTACTTACAACTTTCTCGTCGCCGA